AGTATGAGGTTCTGCTCTGTGGGAAGGAATTGGATCCTGTTCTAAATCCTCTAAATCTCCTCTGTGTTCATGCAGTGGGGTTTGTGTGCATGTTGGAAGGGATTGTCCCACCTGCAACCTTTGCTTCTCTTCTTTGGTTTCATTCAACAGCACAGCATCTTTTACTTTGTCCATCCTCATTTTTTTATAAAGGCAAATAACTTTCCATGTTTATTTGTAATATATCTGTCAACAAAAATAAATGTTCTAAATGCATTTTTTAATTCTCATTTTAAAACATAAGGCATAAGTTCCTGTGATTTTAGAGAAAAGCCAGCACAGATTTTGTGGTAAATCAGTTTGTGAGATTTGTCTAAAGCATTCTGTAACTCTGCAGTCAGTGCAACTCAACATCTTTTCTCTTTGTTAAAGAGAATGCTCAAATCCATTAGTTAATTCAAGCTGAATAAACTCTGTGGTGTGCCAAATACTATAAAAGGGAATATTGAATTGTTCCTTGGAAAGCCCCTAGGATCTGTCATGTCCATTCAATATTTTTTCACTGAGATGCAGATATGCTCCTGTGTCTTTATGAACCATCATAATGTGAGGTTAGTTCTGTATGACCAAGTAAGAATATGAGCCTGATGCCTGCTCAGCTGACAGCACTTGGTGAATCCCGTGATTGTGCTGTGACCTGCAAGGTCCTGAGTTCAGGTTCAGTCTGCTGGTGACACCGTTCTGAGTGTGGGTTTGGGTTTGTGACCTCCTGCTGCAGCAGCTCGGAGCAATCCATTACCCTTGGAGTTATTCATGGCACTGCCACTCCAGCTCAGTCCTGTGGCATTCAGAATTACACAGAATTACACATTTCAGAGTTACACAGCTACAGGGCCTGGAGTGAAAGCAAACACGGGAGTGCAGGGGGTGTCCCTGAGACCCTGGGGTGCTGGGAGTCTTCCGGAGATGAATATTCACATTTATCTAACTGATAAGGCCCTATCATGTCATCTGTTTGTACAACAAATCCATCTTGGCTTGCTGCTTCTCCTTTGCCCATATTCTGCTCAGCCTGACTGGGGGCACAACTTTTCCTGCAAAGGAACAGCAAGCAGCAGGGCTGTGGGGCAGAAATGCAGAGGCACTGGCACGTCCTGGCCTCAGCTGTTCCTCTGGAGGGAGGAGTTGCTCTGCAGCCTATGCTGCTAGGCACAGCTGCAGGGACACTTCCCAGATATGATTTCTCCATATTTAATTTATGCTGCCTGTATTCAGATAGTGAAAGATCATCCAGGGAGGCCTTTTTGCCATTGGAATAGCAATGCCTTTTCTTTGCAGCCTTCTTTGTGCTTTTGGAAACTTCCTGCTATTTTCTGTGACTGTGTGCTACCTTTATATAAGCCAGGTAATATTTCACAAGCATTTCAATGGACAATGGTGCTGTCAAGGACTGTGGTGCTGCTTCTCACATTATATTGCTAAGCAACATACAATACAGCAGCATGATACCTTCTGCAGTTGGTAAGGAGTCAAGCTCCAATATTCAGTAAAATTATTCTGATCTACTTTTCTGTTACACAAGAATCCACTCATTTCAGCACATAAAGATTTGTATAATTAGTAACAAGATCATACAAAAGTTAGACTTTTTTGTGGATTTTTAAAAAAGAGTTAAATATATATACATAAAAACATTTTTCCTAATTTCCCCCAGAGAAAGTGGTCTTAGCTATGTTGAGGTTGTGTGGCTTTCATTGACTTTGTCAAGATTTGCTTTTATCAAAGCACCATTTAAGTAAAATGTTTTGACTTTGAAGCAGGTTTGTTTGCTTACCTGCTTCAAATTACAGATGTGCTGGAACACCTCAGTCAGAATGGACAAGCTTGAGGGCAGAGAGATGTCAAATCTCTGTTCAGATCAACACAGATATTTCATAACATCTTCCTGAAATACAGTATTTGATAAGGTGGAATCTCACTTCTATTATGTGTTCCAACCTCCTCTATTTAAAGTCAAGTTAATGATGAATTTGAAAAGATCTGATCACTTTGTAAATTCACATCTGACATTTCATAGTGGAGATCATTTTGTCAGCCGATCTCATCTCTAGAGAAACAGATGCATATTTTTGTTTACATTGATATTTTAAATAATTCAATAGGACCATCACTCACAATGTGAACCTCCTTTGAAGGGGTCTCTCTAAACTATTTCAGTAGAAATCCTGAGAGGAGAATTGTGGCATTTGGAGGTTTAATGAAGCCTTTCCTGTGAGGTTTTCCCACTGGCTTTCAGCAGCCATTAGCACCAGTTCCACTTGCTGGCCCTGGGTAAGCAAAACTCTCATGTCACTGCTATCAAGGACTGGTTCATCATTTTACTCTCAGCATTAGCCACTGTGATAGGGATCAAAGGAGACTTTGTATTATTCATCTTTAATCTTAAAGGCTTGGAGCATGAGGTCAAAATCAGAGTTATTGTCAGTAATGAAATCACAAACTGTGCAATATTGAGCAAGGCAGGATCAGCAAAACCAGTGATGTGGAACAGAAGTGATTTAGGTACTTCCAGGAGGGACTGCTGGGAACAGCTGGGCTGATGTGGTGGGAGGGAAGGATTTGGGACTATGAGAATCTGTTTCTTTTCAAGGAAAAGCTTGATCCCCATGGAGGTGGTGTCCCCTGGCTGGCTGTGGGATGTGGGGTGGGAATGCTGCTCCTCCAGCAGCCAGAATGGTGCCAGGAGCTCTCCTTTCTGTGGGTGCCCGCTGTGCTGGGACTGCCTGGGAGGGAGGCAGGGCCTGTGTCTGGGAAACTCACTTCTTCCACTTGGATCTTTGTTTCCACATCCTAATTCTGAAATGAGAGACTGAATTTTGGGGAGCTGTATACCTCTGGAGGGTACTTAACTCTCCAGGTGGCATATGGAAGAAAATGCAGGCTTTGAGGATAATAACAGTGGGTAGGGGGTGAGGCAGAGCAGCTCAGTGTGTGAGAAATGGTCTTCACTGGAACAAGAGCACAGTAAACAGATTGGCTGATAATGCTGAATACCAGGCAATTTCCTTTTAAATTAGCAGATGGGAGGGAAAGGAATATAAAAGGAAGTAAAAGAAAAAGAGAAGCTAATGATGAATGTTGAACAGGAACAAAATGTTGCCAAGACATCACGAGAGAATGAAGAATTGATGAAGAAAGGGAAATTAATTTGGTGCTTGATACAGGAACTCAAAGAGCTTTGAAGGCCCAGCTCCAGTGTCTGAGGAGGGCTTTGTAGGATCCTGGGACAGATGTGTTTTACTGACGTGCCCCTTGTGGCTGCAGAATTGGACACGGGGAGGATTTAGTGCTGATGATAAAAACCTGCAGCAGAAGAGAAGCCCAAGAGGGGATCTCATAGTCTGTGCAGCCTGAAAGGCATTTCTGAGCATCAGGCAAAGCCAGTTTCATCTGACACTAAAATTATTCTATCAAGTGATGGGAACTGATTATAGAAATTTGTTGTATCTCCTTGTCAGAATAAGAAGGCAAATGAGGACACAGCTAAATCAGATAAAAGTAGGCTGCCAAAAAGGAGGAGGAAAAAAAAAAGTACTTTTAATTCTTCCAACCATTCTAATAATTTGAGTTAGAACAAAGCTGGAAGACTGGAGAGTCTGGGGATGCCAATATTGCCTAGGGAGAGGTGGACACACACGTCTGAGCAAACAGCATCAGCAGCTGAGTCTAAAACAGTTAAACTGCAGCAAGTCGGACTTGATACAGAAAATGAGTTAATGAAAAGATGAGAAAGGTGAAGCACCTTACTGGGGTTTCTAGAAGAGATGAGATATACAGGAAGATCAGTTATAAAACCCAGCATGTTCCACCAGGAAAGGGGGTCTGGAATGAGTGGGTAAAGTAAGAGACAGAATGCCTCAATGTGGAAATCCAACTGTCTCAATCACCCACATACACAGAAAGAGGAACTTGTGTATTTAATTTGGGTTTAAGTAGACTAAAAGGGTTTTCTTTAATTTCTTGTCTTTGTGGCTGTATTGCCTAAAATGCTGTAAGTAAATGTTAATTTGGTTTGACCTTCACCTGTGCTGAGCTAAGAAGTATTTCAAGGTAAATGGGTGAAGCATCCCTCACCTGAGGGCTGATCTGTGGTGGAAGGATTAATCAAGAGGATTCCTGAACAACTGTTTTAGATTCCCAAAATTCTCTGTAGGAACGACAAAGGATAAGCCTCACATGGACCAACTGGAGAAGTGTCATAGGAGTCAGAAAGGAAGTGCAGGGTCGATGATTGATTAGTCAGGAGATTTTGTTCATCAGCGTAATGAATAGCAGGTCTGAACCTCCCAAGGATGCCAAGATGAGCATTTATTTTCTGTCTTTTCACCTTATGTTTCCTCTTTCTGTTGATTTCAGTGAAGTTTTGCATTTTCTACCCAAGTCTGAAATGAGATTTGCTGGAAGTACTTTACACCCACACCAATATCTCAACAATTCTATGGAAACTGGATTAAAACTGGTTTCTCTGTCAGGTATTTCGATCTGTTTCTGAGGGCTTGGCTCAGGCAGAGCTAATTGAGTAAGAACAGAGACTGTGTTCTCATACTTTCATTCTGCCTAAAGCAAGGCAGAATATTGAAAAGTGAATGTGAAACCAGAAGTTACTGGACAACAAAAAGGAAGACTGACAGTAATATCCCAAAAAGAGACATTATAAGCTTTTTTTTGAACCAGAAACAGATTAGAAACCCTAAGAAAGAATAAACCATCATTTATCTTGGGTTTCACTTTCTAAGTGACAGCAACAAACAAAAGTTAGCTCAAAACCTTTGCATTTTGCTATGGGAGCTTCAGATAACGCAGGAGCCCATATGGAGTAATTTAGCCTCAAAAAGGCAGTGAAATGAAGGGGCTGCTTGATCTGGAAGGACAACAATTGGCTGAATCTCTAAACTGAAAGGGAGAGAAGGAGGGAAAGACAGGAAACAATAAATGAAGGCAAAGAAGGAGCAGGCTCAGAGCAGCCAGGCTGACACACTACGTTTTAATGCAGCAGCTTTGTTCACGTGCCTAAACGCAATCTGGAATTTTTTCTTCTTTCTAAGTTCCATGTATTTCTGAAGAATTTGCAAATGGAAAGGAGTCCAGCATTTCCATACTGTAACTGTGGATCTATGGGAATAATCCACTGCTTTGTGGACAAGATTTCAGAGGATCTGGGTGTCAGTTTTTTCCCTCATTTACACTGAGTATGACACTGGCTATACCTGGAAGAGGGAAGAAAAGACAATATTCAATACACAAAAATATTTATAAATGCTACACCAGGGCTACTTTTCCAGCAGGCATTATTGAAGATTAGTAGTTTATTTGGGTTTTATTTCTTTTAGCCTGAACCTTCACAGAAACATCAGGTGGAATTTCTGCCCATGTTTCAAGAGCCTGCGTGTGATTTCCCCCATGTTGCTGTGCAGTAAGATCCCTTCAGAGCTCCATCATTATGAATTTAGCTTGGTGCAAGAAGGAAGGATGAGTAAATTTCAATGTAGTCTACACTTGTAAGCTACTGACCCAATGTTTGGATATCCTCAGCATCCTGGTTCAGTATCCAAACACTGATCCCAGGGCATCCGGAACGTGAGCAAAGCTTTGCAGAGTTTTTCAAAAGAGCTGAGAAAACAGCAAATGCTTCTGGCTCCTGTTTCTAGGAGACAACTGCAGGAACATAGTGAGGAATCTGTAGAGTCAGCTCAGATGGAATCTCAGCAGACAGCTCGGTAAATTGGGCACAGAACTCTGGGTGTTGCAGACCTTTTGTTATTTCTGCCCAGGAGTCAGTTTAGTTTTATTTGCCTCCGTTAAACTGCCAGTAGGGTTTTACTAAAGAGGCCCAAAGAACTTAATCCTCAGTCTGAAGTTTACAGTAGCAGGAGGTGATGTTATGTTCTAGTGACCCTGAAATAATGTCCTGATGTTATTATCAATTTTGGGCTCTTTAAAATATTGACTACATTTGATTGTTGGCATTTTTCACAGTAAAGTATTTAATTTGTGCTCCTTTCATAGCAGTAGTTGTATTTTCTATAATTACTGTGGAGTCTGTAACTCTGAAGCATTTTGTTGTTTCTCTAGAATTTTGTTTGTTAATGATTACAAGATTTAGTAGTTTGTGGCAGAGATTTAAATAGAGATGAAAAGCTCAGTCTGTTCAACAAATGGCTTCTGAAGGCAAAGGGGGTTCAGGAAGGGCCGTGATTTGGGCATGTACCAGACACAGAGCTGCTCTTCCACCAGAGACCATGCTGACACACCAAACTCCTGATGGTTCAGCACAGAGAGCACTGAGGGAAGGCATGACAGGAGCCAGTCCTTGCACTGATTTCCTGGGGAATGTCTTTCACATTGCCTCTTTCTCCAACACCGATCTTGCAGCTTTTCACACTCCATTTAATCATTACACCTTTTTTTTTGCACATGCTTTTTCTCTGTGGTGGAGCTTTGCTGGGTTCTGGATGAAAAGTTACCACCTCAGATGTGTGATTAGAGCATCACCTTCTTCTGAAAATTAAGATAAAAGCCTGCTGACTTAATAGCAGGAGCATTTGCCCAGATAGAATCTTCATAGCTGGGGCTGCTCTGCAACTGGGGCCTCCTGAAGATCCCAGTAATATTTAACTTCTCTAAATGAAATTCTTCTCCCCCAGTATGAAGTAACCAAGGCTGCATCATTTCCATTTGTGCCTGTGACATATTCAAGCACATTTCTAAGAGCTGTAGTTCAGCTCAAGCAGCAAAGCAGCACAAAAGGGCTTTGGCATGAGCTACTGGAGTCGGATGATCCCTGCACTTGCTGTCCAGGGCAAGATAAGCTGCATCTCAATGGGAACAGCCCCAGCCATGAGAGTGACTTTGAAAATGTGCCAGGTAAAGCCAAAGAAACTGAAGCTGGTTACTGGGTATGAATTGTTATTCAGCCCTCACAAAAGAGGAGGCTTTGACAACACCCCCGGTAACCTTGGCAAAGGGTTTTGTTAAGCAGGTCTGTGCCTCGCTGGCTTTTCAACCCTCAGGCATTGATTGCTCCCTCCTACATGGGAATTGGTGTTGCGGGAGGGGCTGGGTGGCAGCAGCAGCTGGGGCACCACGCTGGGCCTTTGCTCCGCTCCCAGGAGCCGCCCCCGGCCAGGGAACAGGAATGGAGCCCGCTCTGCTGCCAGGGAGGAGCAGCTGGAGCTGCCCTCACGCCTTCCTGCAGGAGAGTCACAGGATCCTGGAGTCATTGAGACCTTGAAGATCAACAAGTCCAGCTTGGGTTTCTCCCATCGCGGGACACTGCTGAGGATGATGAGTTATCTTCTGGATGAATGGAATATTATTTTGAAGAATGGAGTGTTGTTCTCACAATGTCTCATGGCTGCACTTGTTTATACAATATTTCTAGTTACTTTTTCTGGAGATCTTTAGGCACCTGTTAGAACAGAAAACAGGCTTTTTATAGACTCTGCTGGCTGTGTTCTATTGCCACTATACATGAAGTGGGAAAGCCTGGTCCAAACAGACCTACTAAAGAAACCCTTTCCCCTGAAACAAATTCAAGACCAGTTATATCACCGCATTACACTGCAAACTTAGATTATTGCTTAATCTGGAAATAAACAATTACTTCATGATAAAGATTGAGTGCTGATCTGTGTGGCTGATAAAAGAGATACGAGGTGATTTGCCCCAAGCTTTACAGCAAACCAGAAGCAAGGGTCATCTTTCTTGTTTACAATTTCATGTTACGGTGTAAAATAAATGCCAATGTGAGTGATGATTCCATCTGTTAGGAAAAGACATAGGAGTCAGGAAGTAGCAGCTCCCAATTCCTCCAGTGTAGTCTGACATATTGAGCACGACTGGAGCCTGGGACATGAAAGATGCTGAAGCAAACATCATGCAGCCATTAGGCAATTAGATAGAAGTTCTTGTTGTCTCCAAAGCAGCTACTGAGGGGAATGCAGAGATGCTCTGATTAGACAGTAACAGAAGACATTTAATTTCCATTTCCATCCAACAATTTCTAAATTCCTTCCTTGAAGAGTCAGCTTTCCAAAAGTCTCCATTTTGTGTTGCACTTAACCCCATGGGTATTGCAGAGAACAGGCTCGCTGGACTTCTCTTGCCACGCTCATTAGTTCAGTGAGCTTGGCTCATTTCCTAGGATTTGGTCTAGCACAGCCTCTGCCCATCCAGCCATTTGTCTGAAAATAATTTCCCTCCACTTCTGCAGTTTTCCTTTCAGTGCCTGAGCAATTAAAATCCCGAGTGATCAAAGCCCTGGCCTTCCAAGTGTCCCTTGTTTTTCACAATCGTGGCATGAGCTCCTTTGCCTCGCTGCATGAGCTGAGCTCAGACAAAGAAGGTATGACAATTGCTCAATTGTTAGGAATTGTGAAGAGTCTTAGCCAAAATATTGACATCATTCTGACTTACACATTAAGAATTAATTTTTTACTAGGTCTCTAACTAGAGATTAGCAAATCATTTGGATGTCATTAAAATCAAATTGGTTGTCACAAAAAAATCATTGAGTTCTAAACAACTATTGCTTTTCACTTTCCTATCTTGATTTCATTATTTTAGCTATTCTGTGGTATTCCTGGATTATTTCTGACTCTCCACAAGGAAAGACTTCACAGGTGTTTATTCTTTTCTGGCTCTAAATTGTCTCTATTATGTATATGCAGCATCTGTTTCGTGGCAGAATACAAATTGTTTCTCTGTATATCATTTGTCTTGACTCAGATGTTCCTTGCAGAGCTATGGGTTCCTTTACGTTGGCAGTCCTGATTCTCCAGGCATTTTTAGTCCCTTGTGATCGAGGAGTCAGTGAGTCACAGCCTGTGTTTGTATATCCCCACGTCCTGGGGTACAGAACAGGCAGATGATACCTGCTCAGGCCTCCTCACCCCAAAACATCTCCAAATCCCTTGCATACCCATTTTTGACAGCCGGGAGGGATGCAACGTGTCAGTCAGAAGTTCAGACACCTTTTTCCACCAGGCACTGCTCCTGGCCGTGGACATGGCCCAGAGCAGGTGGAGCTCTGCTGACAGGCTGTGCCGTGTGCCTGCAGTCCCGAGTAGGTGTTTTTGTGGGGAAGGTGGAAAGAGGGAGGTTTTTTTGTTTTGTCAGCGAGTGGGAGAAGTATTGAAGTTGTAAAGAACATCGGGAGCGTAGGGTGCGAGGGGGGAGAATAGAGGGTTTGCAGCACTGTAATTTCCCCCAGGGCAGAGATCTCAGAACACTATTTAACAGGCTATAGACTGTGCAATACTTAAAACAAATAGATGGAAATGAGTCTTTCTTCTATTAATACGGCCTAGCCCTCAGGAACAGTGCTAAAATGGGTTTGCAAGGCGCAGTTACCGCAGAGTGCTGTCAGGCTGCTGTTCATTCCTCCAGGCAGAGCTGCGTGTTTCGCTGCCTTCAGCCAGCCATTCATCTGTCCGCCCACGGCCCGGAGCCCCCGGCGGCCGCGGGGAGCTCCAGAGCCGCTCCCCGGCTCGGGCAGGGGGAGCTGCTGAGGCAGGAGCGTTACCCAGGGCTGAAATAGCCATCCCTGCCTGCCCCGGTGCTCTGGCACCAGCACTGCACCCCTAAATGCACTCAGGCTGCTCTGGGTGCTTAGAGCCCTTCTTGCCTTGGATTCTGTGAAAAACATTCTTTTGAAACGAGGTATGTCTTAATGGCTTAGCTGGAGTGTAGAGGAAAGAGTTTGAATTGTGAGTTCAAGGTAAAATTTATCCTGAAAGCTAGATTTGAAGAATTATTTCAGGATTGTTGTAACAGCAATATGAATTTACCTTTCGGAGGCACAGCCCGGTTTAGAGTTGCACTTTGATAGATTTTTCTGTTATTTTGTGGACTTGTCTTCAGAGAAAATGAAATTTTTATTTCTCAGCCAGATGGTGGAGTCTTCTTCCTCAGCCCCTGTACTGTATCATTTATCCAAGAAGTTCAAAGCATGTAAAGCTGGGAGGTTTCAGCTCCTTTCCTGTGAGCTGAGATATATTTCAATGTCACTATCACAGAAGATTGAGGTCCAGGGAGCAGTTGTGAATTACAGAGGTCTCGAGGAGGTGGTGGCAGACCCGGAGCAGAGTGAAGGTGACCTGACTTGCAGTGCTGCGGTCTGCCTGTCAGCTGGCACGGGCTGTGGAGAGACTCGGGTGTCATTTACCCTCCGAGTCCAGCCAGGCTGGGGCTCGTCCTTCAGCTCCTTTGCAGGAGCTTTTCCAACGCCAGCCTAGCAGCAGCCGTGGCTTGGCAGAGCAGGGAAATGCAGGACAGGGCCCCAGCCAAGGGCTGCTGCTGCAGCCGGTTCCGAGTGCCCGGCACAGAGTCCCGGAGCTGCCCCCCAGCCGGGCACGGGCTGGGCTATTCATCCTGCAAACAGCCTCCTTCCTCTCCATGCCAGCCCGAGGGACACGGGGAATGGCAGAGTTTATTATAAACTGAGTGGAGGAACAGACTATTGCTGGAGGAGATCCAGGGTTATAAAAGATTGGAGCGGGGAGGGGGAGGAGGAGGGAGCAGGACATAATTTGTGTTTGTGCTTGAGGGGGTGCAGGCTGTTGGTTTCAGCCAGGCATTCCCCAAACCCTCAGGACCTCTGCCTGGTTTTGGTGGGATTTTGTGCAGTGCATCCCGTGCTGTGTCAAAGCCCACTTACTTTTTATTGTATCAATCATCCTCTTTATGCAGCACCACGACTCGGAGAACGCTTGCAGGTCCTGTTCTGAATGAGCTGCGCCTGCTGCCAGCTCAGCCTAGTTACTGCTGTAACTTAGTCTGGGGGATGGGAGAAAAAGGTTGCTGCTACTTTAAATATAATGCATTAAGAGGATGCTGGAAAAAGGCCTGCATGCTGTAATACCCAGCCATCGAGTTGGAAAAGGAGCCAGATGTAATGCAAAAGAAGAAACACAGCCTCTTATGGATGCTGCACTAATTCATAAATCAGGTGAATCAGCTTAGGCAACTGCTGTGTTTTTATGCCTCTGCTGCATGGAGAACTGCATGTTGGATGCTTTTATTTGAAGTAATGGAACCAGATAATCCTTTGGACCAGGACAACTCCAATGGTAAGAAGTAGGAAACATAGAAGAGAGGGAAAAAAAGGATAATGAGAGTGTCTGAGTTACCCATCCTGCTAAAGGCACAGGGGTAGGCATGTGTTTGTACTGTCTTCTGCATGGATAAGTGGAAATGAATGTGGGAATGTGCTTCACAAGAGCTTAGAAATCCCTCTGCTTACAGGGTCTGGAGACAAACATGTAGCAGACTGATACATGGAGATATTTATTCTGCTGGAAGGAGCAGGAAGCAGGCAGAGTTAACCTGTCTCCTGAGCAGGCTGTGCAGAGGGAACAGGGACCTGTGCCTTCCACCTTACTCAGCCTGGGGGGCTTTTTGCCACTGAGAAAAGAATGGAACTTTGTGCCGTATGTGCTGTCAGATGTAGCACTTGGGAACAGATTCTTTATCTGCAGAAAGCTTTCCTACAGGCAGATGCATGAGTAATTTACTTAGGAGGATATATTTAGCCAAGGACCACATAAATTCACCCTGGAATTAAAGTCCATGCTTAAAAATGCAGCTATTCCATGGATTTATAGCATTCCACATGCTGATGTTCTGCTATCCAGTCTATTGGAAAGCACACAAAAAAAGCATTAAATGAGGGGAAAAGTTGTTTGCAAGTCTCATTTCTCTGTTAGTGGAGAGAATTGGCTGCATTGAGGACAACAAAGTATTCATGTTTATGAAAACAATTTCAGATGGTGATTTTTGGAATAAATTGATTCTCAGCTGTTTAGTATGCATTTGGTATATTCTGAATCCAGCTTGAAATCCACTAAATATTCCACTTCCTACATAAATATTGTTCAGGAAGTAGTTGTGGATTTCCCACAGCATATTCTCTGCTGATAAACAGAGCTTCAAGTCTGACACAACTGCAGTGCTAATATCACAGAGACCTAAAACTGTGTGGAAAGAATGTGCTTAAGGGAATGAAGTAACATTTAAACTATGTGAACAGTTGACTGGGCACATATAAGTGGGCAGCCCTGCTTTACTTGGGGCTCTGTGCCCTGCTGAAATAGAATTTAAAATAATCAAGGACAGATTTCAGTGGTGTTTCAAATGATGATATTTGCATGAAAATATTAAGAGGGGTGTCTCACACTTCTTATTTCTATTTTCTATTCTATTTCATACGTAGTTTTATTAATTCCTCTCTAGAAGAACAGCATCTGCCTCTCATGTCTCATACCTCCTCTTAGACCACTGAGACGCAGAATTAAATCTCATTTTCTGTACAGCAGGAAGTTTTAGGGTTTTCAGAGAAGTGCATGCATAGCTGAGCTGATATTAACATGTAAGCAGGTGTTCATGCCCATCCCAGCATTAGAATCTGGCCTTTAGGAGTCATAGACAGTGTCTGGGTTCTGAGGGAAATACAACTTTAACTTTATTTTCTCTAATATGCTAAATTTCTCACTGAATTTAGAATGCATAATTCAAGACACAGAGGTTCTCATTATTTTCTTACACACATCTAAAGTATATTCTGTCATTATTTTCTTACACACATCTAAAGTATATTCTGTCATTATTTTCTTACACACATCTAAAGTATATTCTGTCACATTGTGTAGAAACTTTGTTTTCTTACAAAATATTTGAATAAGTCGGCAAACACTGGGAAGGTTCCTAAGCTGGGAAATGAGAGATAAGCAAGCACTGCTGGTACCACGGATCTGGGAAAAAAACTTCACTGCTTCTCCTTCCTAACTATGTAAATCCCCATCTTCCTTTCAGTTTGTTTAAATTACTTTGATTTAAACTATCTCATTGTGACCAAATGGGTTGAGCCATTTGTTGATCAGAAGGTCAATTCCTTCCCTGTGCTGCTGCTGGAGCTGCAGGACTGAGGGACCCAGCTGCTGCTCTGAGATCCCAGGCATTCTTTTGCATGAATTGAGAAACCAGAAAGTTCTCAGAAATCAGCCAGCAGTGCTGTTGAGGAAGATTTGCCCCTTGAGAACGTTCCTTGTTCTGGAAGCAGCTCCTGGGTCCCTTGGATAGCCAGCAGCTCTGGACGTGCTGGGAACTGCTGTGTTTATCCAAGTGGGCTGCTCATGTGACAAGTCTTAATGCCCTGGGGAGTGACCATGACTGAAAACTCCCGTGCTTGCTGTAAAAGTGCCTTTTTACCTTCAAGAATGCCAAATCAAATCCCCTTTTCTGCCAGCCAAATGAAGTCCATTCTTTAATTTTTGCTCTACCTGTGGGTGAACCATCTACCTTAAAATTCAGCCTCGGTTCCTTCTGTGTTGCTTACTGCCAGCACAATCAAGAGATGATTAATGACAGAAAAAGCTGTTCTGAAGAATTTGTGGCACTAATGTACTTGAGAGTTGCTTTTTTGCCTCCTGCAGCCCTTCCATTTGCTTACTAACGTGCATGAATTCAGCTCACAGGACGGTGGTGGAATATTCAAGACTGGGAATCTGTGTCTCATTTCTTAGCACAGGGAGTTCTTTTCCTAATCAAATCAAGTTGCCAACTTTTCATGGAGATGCCTCATAGATTGATTATTGCTTGTAGCTGGAGCAGGGAATCACCACCCATTTATGTGGGGGCCCGAAATGAGATTTATTCTGTGTTGGTTGCCTTGACGTAACAGGCCCTGGAATAAAGCCTGTGGGTTTTGCATCACCTGTGGGTGCAGTGGTTACTGGATTTTTCTCTGTGATTCTCCAGGGAGCTGCAGTGCTTGACTGCCTTGAACACAGCCTGACAGGCTGCTCTTCCTTTGGAGACTTGTGCAGGGAGCTCTGTAACTTTTCTCCTCTACATAGGATAAAGGCTCACAGAAACTTGCAGCTTCTCATATGGATTTTAAAAATCATTAAAGCAACCCCCATGCTATTTTCTCCTTCTCCCCCACCCTTTGTTTTCTTTCCATTCTCTGGAATGCAGGCGTGTAGAGAAAGATTATTGTCATTTTGTGGTGGCTCACAGCTCTGACTTTTTGAAGTGTTCTTTTTAATGTAGTGGCATGGATTTACTTCTTTTCACAAAAAAAAAAAAAAATCTTGGAAGAAACTTGCTGAAGAATGTGCTGATTCCGAAACCATAACCCTAAATTACCCATTTTGGAGGGATGACATATCAGAGCTATGGATTTCTCTTTTGTACTATAGCCACTTGCTGCTCCACGAATAAAGGACAGCTCAGCAGCTTTCTGCAAGCTGCTGAAGATTTATAAGATGTTTTATTTGTGTGCAAACTCTTGAGTACAAAATATCTATGAATTATGTATTCTTTGTGTCTTCTAATTGCTCAGATCTCAGTTTGTACAGCTCTTGTCAGCACTGGAACCACCTCTGAGTTTATTCTTTTCTGTGTCCTGACAATATTTCTTTGCGATTCGGTTGGTAATCCTTAAAGAGCACAAGATTTTTATTAGATTTTTTGAACAACCTTGCAGACCACGTCCCAACTGCTGGTTTTAGTGGAATTATATTCCCTACACAGTAGGTGTGAATCACAGATGCAGATTTTGTGCCACAAAGAAATAAAATTAAACCATTGTGCTTTAATAACACAATAATTACAGCATATTTTTTTCAGTCTCTGACGTACAC